TATGAGTAATCAAATGGTGAAAAATGGTAAGTGTGAAAAGAAGGAAGTTTTGGTGGCCAATAATGCAAAACTTACAAGTAATTGTGTTGGTGATATTGAACTTTATATAGAAAATTCTAATAAAGTTACTGTTAAGGATGTTTTATACATACCAGAACTTACTACTAATTTGTTGTCTGTAAATAAAATTACAGAAAAAGGAAAAATAGTAGTTTTTGACAAAGATTCGTGCAGAATTTATTCAGAAAATGACTGTCGAATAGAGGGAAATAGTGACATTTCTGCTGTGAATGACGGTGGTGTATATAAACTAAATTTAATTGAGCCAACAGAGTTGAATGGTCACTCTAAATTCAAAGAATATAATTCATCAGCTGCTCTTACAGTTGCAACCAAAGGTACGTGGCACCGTAGATTAGGTCATCTAAGTCATAAAGGAATGGATTTACTAAGAAATGGTTTAGTTAATGGAGTAAATTATTCAAAATCAGAAAAGGAGAATACTTGTACCGCATGTATTGAAGGTAAGATAACAAGAAAATCTTTTCCTAAAGGTCAAAGTATCAGAGCTACTTCATTACTTGAGCTAATTCATTCAGACTTATGTGGACCTATGTCAGTTAAAAGTTGGGGTGGATCTCTTTATCTTTTAACATTCACCGATGATCTCTCAAGAAAAACTTTTGGTTATTTACTTAAACACAAAAATGAGGTTTTAAGTAAGTTCAAAGACTTCAAAATGGAAGTAGAAAATCAAACTGGCTTTAAAATTAAGCGCTTGAGAACTGATAATGGCAAGGGTGAGTATGTTAACAAACAATTTGCAGATTTTCTACGTTTAAATGGCATTGTTCATGAGACCACTATACCCCACACTCCAGAGCAAAATGGTGTAAGTGAACGTGTTAACCGAACACTAGTTGAAAAGACAAGATGTTTACTTCAAGATTCAGGTTTAGGAAAACGATATTGGGGAGAAGCTATAAACACAGCTATCTATTTGAAGAATCGTAGTCCTACAGCAGCTTTAAAGGATGCAACACCAGAGGAAGTTTGGTCTGGTTCAAAGGTTGATCTAAGTCACTTACGGGTTTTTGGCTGTAAAGCTTATGTTCATATTCCCAAATGTTACGGAAAGAAACTTGACACAAAAGCAAAGCCTTGTATTATGGTTGGGTATTGTGAACATTCCAAAGGCTACAGACTAATTGATCCTAAGAAACCTTATTCTATTATAAAAGCATGTGATGTTGTTTTTGTAGAAGACCAATGTCATACCTCTGATGTGAATGATGACCTGAAAAATGAAAGTCAACAAGTTGAATACACTGTTATAAACAGTAGCACAACTGAACTTGTGGAAGAACCAAACAATGATATAACATGTGTTGACAACGAAGAAAATCTTATTCATTCTAACAGTGAAAGTGAACAGGAAGTTTCAGTAAATGAAAATTCTTATCTAGAACAGCAAGTTTTGGAAGAAGGAAATTCTTTGATTGAAGATAAAAGACCTGAACGTGATCGCAGAAAACCATTATGGATGAACGACTTCGTTTCATATCAAGCTGTCGATATTTTTGATCAACCGCAAACTTTCAATGAGGCAATTAAAAGTAATTTCAAAGAAGAGTGGATGAATGCCATGGATAAAGAGTATAATTCTCTAATTAAGAACAATGTTTGGGAGTTGGTTGATCGTCCGAAGAATGAAAATGTGGTTAAACGCAAATGGGTTTATAAAACTAAGAAAAATGTAGATGGTGATCGTGAGAAGTTCAAAGCACGTCTTGTTGCTAAAGGTCACAGGGTGTCTACCAACCGGGAAATCCGGGAAAACCGGGAATTGTACTTAATTTTTTACTGGCCATGAAATGTACGGGAATTGTCCTTAAATGCCAGACTATGTCCTTAAATTTTTAATGGGCCATAATTTTATTGATCGCTAGTTGGTTAGGAGCACATAAAAGGTTTATCAGATGTTTGTTTACATTTTCATTATTTATTACTAGAGTAATTATGCAATAAAAATCCCATTAACAATCTCAAACCCATTAATATTTTATCACGACAATCAAGTGTCAAGTCAAGTACTTCCAAGAACTGTTGACTCAGTTAGCTAGCTCATAAAAGTTGTATCACTTTTATTCCTTTACAACTTCTTTTTTTATTACTAGGGCTTATTATGAGATTATATTATGAGGAATTATTATGAGATCCCAAACCTATTTTATCGTGAAAATAATAGCTTTATAATGGCTGTTAAATTTCACTTCTTACTTGTACTTGGCTTGAAAATTCATTTTGCCCGGCCATTGCCTAGTGCCATAAAACTGTTTATAGTTTCATATTAAACATGTAAATAATCTATAGTCTTATTTTGTAAGTTAACCCCTTTTTTATGGATATTTTATCTTTCAATTGACAAAACCACAAGCATTGTTATTTGCATTAATGTTTTATCACTATGTAGGCCTGCTTGGTTTCAAATTATGTCATTGCATTTTCTGTATCTTTGCCTTATATTGTTGGCTATTCAGGTTTCAATGTTTTTTGTTTCCCATATATTTATTTATTGAGCTGTATGCTTTAAGCAATCTAAATCTTAAGAACTAGAATGATGATAGTGACTTTGCTGCTATTATAACCTCATTGTTTGTTACCCAGTTTATTTAGGCCCTCCTAAATAATTAGGCCTAGGCCTGGGTATTTTGATTCTTGAAAGAGCTGTAAAATATATTAAGAAAATGTAATTGAGCCTAGATAAACAACTAATGATTGCTATGTGTCGATATTAGCGAATTTCCCTATAGGGAAGTAGCTATTACGGTAAGACCTAGAGCCGGGACCGATTTACTTTTTCATTTTGATGTCCCCAGAGGCCAAAATCACTATTCGTTCAAATTTTTATATATGTATATATATATATATATATATATATACGTCCGTGAACGCGATAACTTGAGTAATTTTTGCCCGATTTTGATGAAATTTGGTTTAAAGGTGTAAAGCGGGGTAAACTTGAATGAGTTCGCGAACCAGCACGATCGGACCATGGGAACGGGGCTTTACGGGGGGTGTTATGGGGTAAAAATTGGTTTTTCTCACTTTTGACCCTCAAAACACAAATTTTCCCAATTTCTCTTTAGACCTTTTTAAAGAGCTTAAAAAAACAAATAATTTAGTATATAAAAGTATTTTTGTTCGATTATTAGTAACGGAGAAAATTAAAAAAATTGTAAATTTAAAATTCCCATGTTATTCTTATGGAGAATATTGTCAAATGTTGTAGTTTGCTTGTTTATGAATATATTTTGATCAAACTTGGCAAATTTATTTATTTTGTACTAAGCTATCAATATTTTACTCAAAAACACACTTTATTAGTTTCCTTGTAGCAGCAAACCTAGGTACTTGTTAAACCTAATGTTATTAAAATATATTTAACTGAAAATCAATTCATACAAATGGAAATTCGCTTAGTCGGCAGGTTTGCTGCGGCAGGGGTATTAACTTTGCAAATGAAAATACAATAATCTTACTCTGTGCTTATTGCTTATTGGTAGCCGCTTACCATACCTTGATTTTGTACTAAGAACTGAGCAACAATATGCATTAAAGATTTTTTTTCAAAAGTAGTCGAGAGCCTAACGTTGTGCCAGGGCGAATCGTGCCAAATTAATCCGCCTGGATCGGATAAGCTATGTTATGAAGTTAACGTGACCGATGGAGATATTTGTCGCTATCGCAGGAGACAATGATTGCGTTTCTCTGTTACACTATAAAAGTTTTACCTAAAGTATAGGTAGGCCTATGCTTGTTTACTTTCAATAAATTTCTATTTTGAAATTTTTAACTCTAAGGCTATCTATTATTATTTACTCTTCTCTCTGGTACAACTACAGATAATAACAAGATTAATACAGTTTGACAAATCAGGAAAATTATTCGGTAGGCCTAGTGACACCGACAAAGGTTACGTCAAAGTGTCCTTAAATGTACGGGAATTGTCCATGAATTTTTTATCCAGAATGTAGTAGACACCCTGGGTCAAGAATATGGTTAAGAAAAGCATGGAAATCAAGTATATGCCAACTGTAAATATGACGGCTGATATTTTAACCAAATCATTGTCACGTGAAAAATTTAATAACTTTGTGACGGACATGGGACTTAAAGACTCAGATTAAATAATAAAAAAAAAGATGTTTGATTAAGGGGGAATGTTGAAGATTTTATATAGTATTGCTTTGTTTAATGCTATATAATCAAATATCTTTTTAATGTGTCTTTTAATATCAGCTGCTTGTGATTATTTTGTTGTTGTCCTAATATGTTCACAGTTTGAAGTGTTAATGTTTTAATATCTTTCCTTTTTACATCAATTATTAATAAAGTATTTTATGTATTTTATTCCCTCATTTCATCAGCCTCAACGACAAACGCACGATGTATAACGGTCCACTGCTCTATGGCGACTGAAATGTCATCTTTGGCCTTGAGAATGAGCCGCTCCCCACCATCCCCCTCCACTCGGCTGCCGGACTGTACTCGCTTGAAAACCGTCAGATATTTCTGCCGCTCCCTGTATATATAGGATTTTGATTGAATTTGAAAATTTTTAAATTTTATACTAAGCCATCGTCTCAATAAATGTCACTCCTTATTACCTTCCTTGTAGCAGCAAACCTAATTAATCGTTAAAATTCATGCTATTTAGAAAGGAACAAAATCTGACAATTATAAAGGGAATATTTTAGCAGAAACCCAGCCAGGTAAATGGAAATTTGCTTAGTTTACAGGTTTGCTGTGGTGGGGGTATTTTACAATGCTTTGACAAATAAATTGGAATTCCAGAGATTAAAAATTATTAGTTTAGGTTTTGTCTTTTCTGAGATTTTAGGTTAGGCTAAGTAATATTTTTGGTACATGTTTTTTCTAACCTGTCACTCTATCAGCCCCACAGGTGACAGAATATCATGAGTGTTATTGTTTTTCAGGTGAAGTGTTTGTATGGGATACAGCTGGAGAGACCAGCAAGACATTGGCCAAGGTGACAGCAGCCAGCCACAACGACTCTGTCACTGAGGTGAGGTGGGTTCTCGGCACAGGGACCTCGGTGTATCTGGTGTCAGCTGCTCATGACGGATACCTCATACTATGGAAAGTCTCTCCCCATCTCTCATCTTACCAGTTGATGGAGAGGTAACTGAGACCAGATACTGGGAATGTAATTGAATAAGAAAAAAATAGTTGATTTGTCATCTATATATTAGTACGCAAGCAGGTTTCTTTTCACAGTCATAACTCGATAATGGTTTGACGGATTTTAACGTTTGAGGTGTCAAATTAAAGGTGTTTTCACGTAGATGTGCAAATACGTCTCAGGATATTAAGCAAGGGCATCACTTAAGTACAGTTAAGGGCTGAAGTTTGGGAACGGTGGTGCTATCTGTTGACATTAGATCAAACCATCAAACTCAATTTGCTTTGTTTATAACTAAACATAAGGACGTAGTTTGAAAAAGTGTTTAAGCTTAATCACATACTGCAGGACTTATTACTTCAGAGCAAAGCTGGAATTTTATATTTTTATTTAAACATCTATTAACGTCTATTAAGTCTGGTACATTATTATTAATATTGCAACACCTTCACTTTACAAAAGGCTGTAGTAATCAGTCAGTAAATCATATTTTTGAACTGTCAAATCTTGTTAAAGAAGGTTCAAATACATGCTATTAAGCAATCCAAATTTGTGGTTAGAACAACTAGTTTCGGTGTCTGTGTGACACCATCATCAGGCTGCACAAGGACAGTTTTCTTTCTTCATACGAAGAGCATCATATTTACACGAAAATAAATTAAACATTTAAAGACGACACAAACACGAACACGATACATTTATGGTAACTGATCAGTTAAGAAACAGACGACGCTAACTCGGCGGAGTTTGAGTCCAGCAGTTGGACTCAAACTCCGCCGGGTTAGCGTCGTCTGTTTCTTAACTGATCAGTTACCATAAATGTATCGTGTTCGTGTTTGTGTCGTCTTTAAATGTTTAATTTATTTTCGTGTAAATATGATGCTCTTCGTATGAAGAAAGAAAACTGTCCTTGTGCAGCCTGATGATGGTGTCACACAGACACCGAAACTAGTTGTTCTAACCACAAATTTGGATTGCTTAATAGCAGGTATTTGAACCTTCTTTAATATTATTTGGCAATCCGGAGGCTAACAACTACAATGATGTCAAATCTTGGTCTTCGGGAGGTGGCTTGAATTTTAATTGATAAAGATAATGGTGGCCGACATTTCAAATTCTTTGTAGAAATGGAGCACTGTCCTTTAACTATACTTTGGCTGAACATGTTCTAGGTACACATTTGATCTATCATCTTCTAAAGTTGGAGTGTCAGCTTTTGCCTTCCCTCATCACCAACAGGACGTGTTTGTGGTATGTCTGGAGGGAGGAGCTGTGAAGCACTGCTCTACAACGGTTGCCAAGCCTGTTACCTCAGGTTTGTTGATAATCAAACTATAGCTAAATTTAACTATAGCATTTTTCTTTAAAAAAAAAGGCATTAAATTGTGAAAAAAAATTACCTATGCCAATCTGGAATCCATTCCCAAATTTATTTTTGAATTTTACTTTTAGGTAGACATATAACTGAACAAAAAAAGTTTATTTTGATTGAATTCCAAAAATCAATAAACGATATCAGCAATCTGAAACATACTTTTCCATATTAGCTTGTTGTCAACAACCTTTAATTGTGGGTATGCAGTCGGTGTATGATATTTTATAGGGAAAATCACACTTTTGAATTGTAATTTGAAAAGCAATGCGAGTTATACCATTTCACTCAGAATTTAAAGGACTATAATGTATCAAATTTCTTTTTATCAAAATTGTTCAGGCCACTTTCTTCTCTGTTAATTTATGGGTTGTATGGAAAAATCACTGTTAAAAATTAAAATCTCAAAAAATGAAAAAAAAAATACCTGGAGATATCATGGATTAGTACCTACATACCAAATTTCACCGTAATCGCATAACAGGTGTGGTCTGTAGCTCTGTACACATTCAGACATACAGACTGACAAACAGACACACACACACACAGACATCACTTCGAAAACCATTTTTTGGGTTCAGGGGGACCCAACATGGATATATCCACTCATAAGTCAAACTCAAATATTTTGACAAAACAATACTTCTCCAAGAGGAAGAAAGAAAAAAGCATCTAAGAAATGTTTATATTCTAACAAACTCTTGAGAATTTTTTAAAACCACAAAAAATGTTTTTAAATACATGCATATTTACTCATGAATTTTTAATCATGGTGTAAATTTTGGCAAGAACTTGAATGTTGGCTTGAAAGCCATGTAAAAGGTTGAAACATCTATACAAAGAAAAAGACCGACTCATATCTATCTGTCCATCTTAAACTTGAGTTCTTCGAAACCATCATAGTATAAAGGTAATACAAAACTGTGTTAAAAGGATACAAAATTAAAATATCCCCGCTGCAGCTAACCTGCAGACTAAGTTGATTTCCATTTACCTGGTTGGATTTACACTAAAATATTCCCAGATTTTTTAAAATTTAAATAATATTAATTTTACTAGTCCTTATGTTTGCTGCTACAAGGAAGGTGTTAAAGTGCTTTAGTAAAATGCTGATCCAGTATGAAATAAAAAAGTTTTCTAAATTTGATCAAAATATGTTCATAAACAAACAAACTACAACAGATTGTTTATTTTCCATAAGAACAACATATTGATCCTCTAGATCATCTAGATCGTCTGAATAAACTAATATAGGTTTAAATTACCTGTTTTCTGTCAAAACGATCGGTTTGGTAGTATGATGACTACATCTGTTTCATGCTTTTTAAAAAGTTGCACATCTTCAGGTCCAGAATGTCTTGCTAATCCCTCATGTGGAGTTTGTTAAAAATATAAACAAATAAATAAACGGGACACACATACGGATATGACACACACGAAAATGCATTTAATAAACTGGTCGGCCAGACGCTGATTCACGGGACACGGCGTCGGTGGAAGGTAAGTCGCGACTGTCACGTGTTGGCAGCGTTGACCCCTACCCCTGTGTTATCCTTATCTCGTTCTTTTCTAGTCTGCTTATTGGTGATATGGATGGCGGTGTTATAAATAATGTTGGATTTTAATGACAATTTCTCGTTCAGGATGTTTTGAGGTTGACTTTTTGATGCTTTATAAATTTTGAATTCTTCAACAGTGTCCATGTAACGCCCTTTGCTGCAAAGATTTACTACTTCTAAGTTATTATGTATGTTGGTGTAATTGTGGTTGGAGGAGATAAGATGGTTTGCGTAGGCTGATTTTGAGTTTTTCTTCGGTATGTGCTCTTTAAACCTAGTGGAAAATGCTCTTGCTATCTGACCTATATAAAAATTAGGACAATCATCACATATCAATTTGTAAATTCCAGTTTTATTCATTTTATCAGAATCTCGGTTAGGTCTCTCATTGATTAGGTTTGAAAGTTTGTTCTTTGTTTTGAAAGCTACTATGACATCTCTTTTCGCAAGTTCGTTTGTTAAGGTGTGATTTAATACAACACCATAATCTGCACTGATGTATCTCTTGTTGCATTAATGGTTCAACAGATATATCCATTTTGGGTCCACCCGAAAAAACCCAAAAAAGTGGTTTACGAAGTGATGTCTGTGTGTGTGTGTGTGGCATAAGTCATAAGTATTTTATTGCATAGAAACATTCTTCATTACAAAGGCAATAATGAACAGATGCATGGTCAATCAATAAGTTATAAAAACTAAAACTAAAAAATTACAACAAAATATAACAAGAACAGTAGCCTACAATTGAGAGAATGTTACCAATTCAAAAAAGTTTGAAAAAAGACAAATTTTAAATTTTAATGAAGATCTTGAAGCAATATCAGAGAAAAAACCATTAAAAAACATTCTGTGTCATATTTTACATAAACTAATGGTCAATTAATGTCACGGTCATTTAGGAAATCTGCCAGGAAGTAAAGTAATATGATTTCTCCACCAATAATGCTTTAGTCCAAATTTTAAATTTTTGTGGTGTATAGGATTTTATTTTTGAGGGGATCTTATTATATAGACAAATCCCCATTTAGATGGGGTTTTTTTCAAAATGAGAGTGTTTATGAATTGGATAATTTAGCAGATTTGGGTTTCGGGTATTATAACTATGAGTGGGTCTAAACTCATCAAAAAGGGTATTATTTAAATGAACAAAATTTACCGTTTCATAGATATACAAAGAAGTCAATGGCATTATTTTTAATTCCTCAAAAGAACGACGACAGCTTGATCCATATTTTGCCCCTATCATCACTCTAATAACACTTTTTGGACTTAAAGTAATATCCTCTGAGTTAATATCCCACAGAAAAATTCCATAACGAAGCAGAGAGTGTATATAAGTATAATAAATAATTTTTAATGTTGCTAGTGACACTGAATTTTGAATACATTTAATTTCAAACCAAAAAGAAGTCAATTTACTAACCAAATATTAATGTGCGATTTCCAATTGAAACTTTGATCTATTATATTAATCCCAAGAAATTTATATTTATCAGTGACATTAAAATCCGTTCCATTGAGTTTGTGGTTATTGTTAATTCTGATTTGGAATTGCATAATGTTAGATTTGCATTCATTTAGTAAAAGTCCATTTGATTCAAACCATCTCTTCAGATCTTTTAGTGTTTATTTCAAAGTGTTTTCTAATGCAGACAGGTTTTTTCCTGAACTATTACAATTGTATCATCAGCAAATAGTACGAACCTTTTGGAAATATGTGCTGGTAGGTCATTTATATATATAAGAAAGAGTGTGGGTCCTAAAATGGATCCTTGAGGGATGCCAAATTTTACTGTAGTCCAGTCCGAGTAAAAACGGGTTGCCCTCTCACTGATAACTGTTCTCTGCTTCCTCCCCAAAAGATATGATGTTAATAGCTTAAGAGCCGACTCCTCAATACCAATGCTGGCATTTTTTTAAATCAGCATCTGATGATCCACACAGTAAAAAGCCCTGGACAGGTCACAGAAAATCCCCGCAGTAAACTGCGACCCATCCAAGGCCCTCGCTGCATCGCTCACAAAGTTTATCAAAGCCAATTCAGTACTTCTATTTTTCCTAAACCCAAACTGTTCAGCCCCAAGCTGATTATTACATTCAAGAAAATAAACAATTCTATTATGAAGAGCTTTTTCAAAAATTTTGATGTATTAAGTAAAGATATAGGACGGAAATTTTGAATGTAATTTTTGATTTCTTTTTAAAAATTGGTTTTATCTCGGACATTTTCAGCTTAGTCGGAAAGGTACAAGTTCTAATAGCTAGATTAAAAATATAAGTTAAAATAGGGCTTATCACTTGAACAGACAATTTTAATAAATGAAGTGGAATGTCATCCCATCCACAAGATTTTGTGTTATTTAGACCTAAGATAATTTTAGCCACCTCTTCCACTAAAACAGGTGAAAATTCACTTAAATATTTTGTCTTACATGAAGGGCTGTCTTTGACAAAAGTTAAATCAGCCTAAGGGACTTTTAATAAGTCAACAGTGTTAATAAAACTAGTGTACCGGTTGCTCGAATTCGAGCAATTGCTACGTATTACAGGCTTTATTTTAAAACGAATAACAGTCATAATTTCTGATGACTTTAAAAGATTCGACTCAAATATTATGGAAATACTCAAGATGTACATAACAGATCGATATAATCAACATTTCTTGTAAATATCTTATCATTTTTCAAAAGCTGATCTTGTTTTTTAGTGTTTTCGTTTTCTACAAATAGCTTTACTCATAGCCACATTAGGTCGTCCATAATAACGATTATCATAAAAATACCCCCGTCGCAGCAAACCTGCATCCTAAGCGAATTTCCATTTACCCGGCTTGATTTCTACTAAAATATTCCCTATAAATTTTCAGATTTATTTCCTATTTAAATAACATTAATTTTAGTGAGTAGTTAGGTTTGCTGCTACGGGGAAGATGTTGAGATGTGTTTTTTCAATTAAATACTGATAGCTTAGTATAAAATAAACCAAATTGCCAAATTTGATTAAAATATATCCATAAACAAGCAAACTAGAACAGTTTATTTATTCTCCATAAGAATAACATGGGAATTTTAAATTTACTATTTTTTTAATTTTCTCCGTAGTCAATGAACATTCAAAAACACTTCAATATACTAAATTATTTGTTTTTTTAAGCTCTTCAAAATGGTCTAGAGAGAAATTTAGAAATTTTAAGTTTTTAGGGTCAAAAATGAGAAAAACCCATTTTTACCCCATAAAACCCCCCATAAACCCCTGATCCCATGGTCCAATTATGCGAACTCGTTCGAATAAATGTAGGTTTACACGTTTGTACCAAATTTCATCAAAATCGGATCAATTTTGCTCGAGTTATCGCGCTAACGGACACATATGTAAATATATATA